TACATCAGTGTCTGCTAATGGGTCCATGGGTAGAGAGAAGCTTTTTGGTTTTTCATCGATTTGTAACGCTTTCTTCAGTTCTATGGCTTTCATCATCGATTTGTAATGCTTTCTTCAGTTCTATGGCTTTCTTATTGATGCTTTTTTCAGTTCTATGGCTTTCTGTATTAGACCAGATTACTCATGGGTGCTGAAGAACTTATCCATGGGAATGTACAGTATTTGCAGCTTGCGTTTTCAGATGTCTTGGTCTATTCTCATAGGTGCTGGAAGAACTTATCCATGGGAATGCGCAGTAGATTCTCATACGTTATCCATGGGAATGCGCAGTAGCTTCTCAGACAGGATCAGACAGGATCAAGGCCTTTTCTTTGATAAGGGAGCCTCTTGTGGTGTTAGGATCAAGGCCTTCTCTTTGATAAGGGAGCCTATTGATGTGTTTCCTGTAACTTGGAGCATTGCATCAATGGGTGTTGGCACTTCCTGTAACTAGGAGCATTGCATCAATAGGTGTTGATTTGATCCCTCCAGTCATGGCATTGCATCAATGGGTGTTGATTTAATCCCTCCAGTAATTAGTCGTAATTCTTGGTAGTGTGCCTTCTCGAGGGGTTTGAGAGTCACCTCTTTGGCCGTATCCCTCCATTAATTAGTCGTAATGCTTGGTTTGTGTGCCTTCTCGATTGATATGAGAGTCACCTCTGTGGCTGTAATGAGTGGCTCACAGTTGAAAGTCACCTCTGTGGCTGTAATGAGTGGCTCACAACAATAAAACATTTTTGGCTGAATAAACATCTTGTAAGTGGTGTTGAAACGGCTGAATATTTCACAGCAATACAACATTATTGGCTAAATAAACATCTTGTTAAGTGGTCCTAGAGTTGAGCGCTACAGGCCCCATTGGCTACCAGCAAGACGCTTAAGTACATTCAGTCTATTGGAGATCTACCAGCAAGACGCTTCAGGACATTCAGTCTATTGGAGATCGTTCTGGAATTGAGCAATGTGACTTTTCCACGTTAGCTTTGTGTCAAACGTCCTTTCCAAGATATGGTGAAACTTACTGGTTTTTTCTAGGGTAGTATCCTTGTACCTTAGAAGTTCGGTTTTTTCTATGTTAGTATCCTTGTACCTTAGAAGCGGGCTCTAGGGTAATATCCTTGTACCTTAGTAGCGGGGTTATGCTTTATTCTCTGATGGGCCAAAGAAAATGTTTGGAATGCAGTTTTAGTGTGATGAGCCAAAGAAAAAGTTGGGAATGCTGTTTTTGCGGTGTTAATTACCATTCCATTGTTGTCT